TAAAACAGTTTTTGAAAGCTACCGCAAAGCAGCAGATAAGTATTAGCATCATTAAACAAAGTGTACATATCACAATGATAGCATCAGATGTGTAGATGTAACAGAGCTCACTTTCGCCCAAATACCGAAGAAATTTGTCATTCAAATGAGTCGGCGTTTCGCAGCGCCCACCAAAAAAAAATTCGCGAAACTCGTCGTTGTCGTCCATCCATTCTCCGAACTTGCACATCGTTTCACATTCCCAATAGTTTCCGATTGCTATCACGGATTTCAAACTCCCCTCGTTATATGCAGTGGAAAAATGCTCTGGATAAAGAGTTCGTAATCCACAGCTGCTTATATGAAGTTCTTGTAATCTTGAAAGATTAGAAAAGGCGTATTTAGGTATTTCTTCCAGTTTGTTGTTAAAATCCATATTCAGGTAAATAAGTGCATTTGGTCCACGGAAAATATATTCATACATTCCCTAAATATAAAAGGTTTTAAAAAGCACGTAATATACCAAAAAAAATTTGAAAGCATAAAAGTATAAAATCAATAGCTCAAGAAAAATTGTGCAAATGCAATGTTTTTAAGATTTTACCTGAATACTACAATTTCTCAGATCCAATGTTTCCAAGGAAGGCATTTCCACAAACAATTCTTGAGTTGTACAAAACTTTAAATCATTGTTGCGCGACAAATTCAGAGTTTGTAAATTTTTTAGATCCATCGGTTCAAAGCATTTCAACTGACTCGATGATATTTCAAGTGTCTGTAAAAAGACAAACAACACATGAACACTTGTGCCACCGAAAATAGCTTATAATCATTTTTATTATATCATTAGCAAAATTATTAACGCAATTAAAATAGCCAATAAGAATTGGACCATGAAATCGTGAAAATCACTCAAATTTTGGGTAATTTGTCATTAGTTAAGAAAGATGAATTAACGAGACAGATAAATTCATACAATATTGTAAAATCACGGTCCTAGGTATATTCAAACAGGGCATGGATAGGTATGCGAGTCGAGTTTTAACTTTGACAAATATATTTTTTTTTTCAAGAACACGCAAATCATATCACCACTATCTCCGCAGAACATATATAATCATGGTCACTCTCATTTAACAATGTTTAACGCTAATAAATTGAATGAATCATTTTATTTGAATATAGTATAGGGATTCAAGTAGAAATTGTACGATGGTTAAATTTTTTATAATGTACAAAATGCCTTTTCGTCACCTTCAATTTCCTAACTTTTGCGAAAGCTTCCCAGTTAACGACATTAAGTCCTGTTTGACGAAAAATAAGAGTTTCGAGATTTCTGTCATAACGTTCGAATGCATCTTCATCATTAATTGACGTCAAACAGGGTGAGTCGAGTACTGTTAAACTCTCTATTTCATTACCATCACGGAAGTATTTTGGTATTTGGGAAATGTCTGTTGAATAAAACACGTAAGTTTATGTACAAATATTCACTGTTGATTACATATTATCTAAGATTTCAGTTAGAAAAATTACAATTAATGCTAATTTAAATTTAAAAAAGTTCTGGTTGTACATACCGTTGTTTTGTAATTGTATCACAGTAAATATTGCAGCCTTTAATTTCTCAAGACATGAAATGTTATCAAATATTCTTTACACTGATTATTTTATTTTATACAACTTTTATGTATGTTCAAGATTATTACTCATACAATAGGAAATAAATGAAGATGCCCCTAATCTTATTACAAATAATATTTCTTAAAAGTGTTATAAAAAATTAAATAAATTGATAAACTGGTCAAATTATAAAGAAATGTAATAATTTTTAGTTCCATCCAGTGTCCAAGATAATTGAACACCTTATGTCGTTTTGGCTCATGCAAATGAAATATGAATTATTATGCCATTATGCCAATAGCATTATGGCGTCGTTTAAATCTAAAAGAACTGTAAAGTACATACAAGATGAGTTGAGATTACAATACTCGTAATCAACTTGGAATTTTACAATTTCAAAGTTTATTATTAAACAACACATACAACGAACTTAGAATGTAAGCCTTCATTTTAACAGAAGATATGAAAAATTGATCAAACCAAGACAAGAAAAAGCTGTACGCCCGGGCATATTAGAGTCACCTGTAGGGTACCCAAGTTAGACAGCACTGTAGCCAAGGTCGTGAGGAATGCACTTTGTCAAGGAAATTCACGAGGGTTAGGTCGCAGTAACTAGTTACAATTTGGAACCTACTTAGTCAGAGATATGTGTGGAAAAATAGCACGTCACTGTATTCTATATATCATTTTATATTAATTCAAATCTTATCATTAATCTTAATCATTTAAATCTTGATGAAAAAACCTAGCAACCATAAAATAAGCCGATCAAATAATTGAAATTCATATCAAATTTATATGCAGACGCACAATTTGTATAAAAAATACGGATATAAATCAAAGTGCTTAAAACACACTACATACTTATAAACATACCTGTGCATACCGGCGATGTTTCATCCGAACAGTCACAATTTTCAGGACATGGGCGATCTGTGTCATCGTCTTTCCTTGAAGCTTTTTCCGATGCGTCAGGCAATATTCCACTTGCCATGGAGTTTAAAAGAGCGACTACAAAGAAGCATAGCGATATTTTTACGCTTGTCATAACGAATACTGACTCTTTCAGACCGATCGTCTACTACTGTGATGTAAATTTCAAATACAACAGCCCTAGTGCATAATATGGTCAACAAAAAGTTGTTCCCAAGAAACTGTTAATGGTTATTCGTCCCGAGAATTGATAAGGTAAAACAATTACGCTTGTACAAAATGCATTTAGCAAAAACTCATGGATAAAAAGATTTCTGCTTAATTCAAAAATTGTTATAAGATAATGTCGAGCAGAATACGAACTATACTTATGAGGTACCCCCAGGATCCCTTTGATTGTGTCTCATGCTTTGCTGGAATCACAAATTTGACTGTTTTTGCCTTAAATTTTAACGTGGAATTATATTTAATTTCCTGATTGTTTTTAGCATATTCGTTCAGCCTCCCGTAGTTAATGTTTGATAGAATATAGATGAACTGTTGTGTAATATTCGGAAATGTGTGCTTTCATAATATTTTTAAACAGTAAGTCTGCTTTGATTGTTTGTCCAGTCAGGACAGACTATTGTTTACATAACTCTAGATTCGATCAAAACTTGGCACAAATATTCAAACGAAATATCGAGTATAAAGTTGAAATATTAAGCGTTTTGTCCATTTTAGTAGCCTACTTGGGTTTTTTGTTATCTCAAACGTTTTAGCTGAACAGTATTCCCAATTCCGCCGATATCTAAAACTGGATTTACAGTAACTGAATAATATTACTATTTTTTTAAATTCAACCAAGCAAATTTATAATTGATGCTAAAATCAACCAGCCGAAACGTCACACGACAGAATCAAAGTAGCCTATAACAACTATGTTTTATCTACTTTATTATAAGATGCTAAAGTGTTAAATCGGATAACATTTTTGTAGTTTGAACCTTTTTCACTAGAACAGCGTTTCCCAACCTTTTTTGGTCGCGGACCTCACCAGCGAAAACCTTTGCAAACTCAAGGCGCATTTATTGCAACCGTACTCTGTGTGAAGAAGCAATAAAACCAAACACAACAGAAATTTAACGAATTTCAAAATCGGAAATTCGCGCAATCACGCGTTCGGTAAAAGAGCCGACTTTTTGGTGTATGATGGACTTTTTCTTACACAATATTCAGTTCATGACATCGACGAGAATTTAAAATATGTTTCTATTTTAATTTAATTGTGTTCATGGTAACTCGCGGTTGCGTCGACTTACTACAAGGTGAAAGCATTACTTCTTTAAATAACCACGGCCATCTGCGAACATAAAAATGAGAGAATGTATTACCCGATTATATTCAGATTTGATACATATTTTTTGCGTTCTTGCGATTTTTTTTTTTTGCCGTTAGAAAAAATCCTATCTGCTATAAATTTTCAGAATGTACAACTTAATTTAGTATTTATTAAAAATGTATTTAAAGTATATTAGTAAATCAAATATATATATATCGCTTTGAAATTCTCGCGAACAACTTCTGAAGGAATCGTCGCGTATACGTCACTTGTTAAAAGAGCCGACTTTTCAATAATTTTTTCTGTTGCTAAAAATATTTAAACCTTCCATATGCGTGATCCTTTTTATCTGCGGTTGTGTTGACGAAATAAAAGCAGTACTACTCGGAAAATACCATGTTAATCGTGGACACAAAAATGCGTGGTAAAGTGCCCGATGGCGATTATAGTTTGTTTTGATTCGTATTTTTTGTGAATTTGACAAATCTGAGCTGTTTGTACAACACTTACGGCGCTCCTTTACCACTGTACGTACCAATGTGGAGGCAGTAAAGCACAGAATACTAAAGGAAATGCCCTGGTGCGTATACTACGGTAGCACCCGGAATTTTGCAATTTGCAATGTCTAAAAAAGCGTCTTTAATCGGTCGCGAAGTGCTTTTCGATTTAGAAAATTTAGGTCGCCACCATTTACACCTACCAGAAAAAAAAATGATTCCTCGTTGTTCGAACTCGAGAAGCACCTATTACGTATCTATCAAAACGTGCACAGACATGTTACCGAATTTTCGAATAGTAAATTGCTATTCTAATAGTTGAATATTCGAATATATGCCGAGCTCTAAAAATTGACTCGTTTATTTGTTATGCGAATAAACTGGCTTTTTATGTTTTTTGTAATTTCTAACGTAAATCGTAACTTGGCTGATAGTTAATTAAGTTTCGCAAAAACTTTTGAGGCCCGCAGTGAATTTCTGGCTCGTTGCGGACTCATTCAAACGCTCCGCGGACTCATTTGAGACCACGGACTCGGGTTGGGAAACATTGCACTAGTACCATGATGCTCGTAAAATTTCGAAGTGCAAGTCATACAATAACTTTCATAACATATAACAACATAACGTGAAAGATACAATTTTTAAGATATACGTAAATTTAATGTGTTTCATTCTCATTATTGTGAAAATATAGTAAAATAAAGCAAGTTCAATTATAATAATACTGCAATACTGCAAAATGAAATAGCAAAATAAATCAAAATTGAAACAAGAATTAAAATAAACGAAAAAAACAACAAATAAAGTAATTCTGTTATAAAATATTAAAAAGTAAATTTACAGACACACATACAAAATTGATTGATTCAGATTGATAGCTGTCTTTTTGCCGATTATTTGCAACCTTAAGATATTTTCAAACGTCAGATAATATTTGAAAATACCTAGTCGTCCAGAATCAAAAGCCTGACCACGTACTATACGAGCAACGCTGCAATGAGGTAAGCAGTGGGCGCCAACGTGACTCCTCTTGATTTGCACATCGTTTAAAATATTTTATTTAGATAGTTACTTAAGGTCTAACATTGACTTCACAAATAAAGCATACGTTTTGAATGTTTTAATAATACTTAAGCAAAAGCATGTTCATCATAAGGAGGTGGAGCGACATCTGTCATTGAATCTGCGTCATCTGCGTTTCGCAATGTCATTGTCATGATATCCATGTTTTCATTATTTTTTCCCACGACTGCGTCATAGCCAGGTGGATCTATATCGTGTATACACCATCCCCCAACAGAATCAGTGGACATCGCTCCATCAACAGTAACAATAGCGTGATCGTCCGTCTCTGCGGCGGAGTTTTCTACGCCTGCCCGACCTGTTCGAGGTGCACTTCGTGAATTAGATTGCTGCTGACTAGTAGGGTTTGAACTGTATACGTCACTACTTTTACACATTCCGATAAAACAGTTTTTGAAAGCTAACGCAAAACAGCAGATAAGTATTAGCATCATTAAACAAAGTGCACCTATCACAATGAGAGCATCAGTCGTGTAGATGTAACAGAGCTCACTTTCGCCCAAATTTTGAAGTAATTCGTCACTCAAATAAGTTGGCGTTTTGCACCGCTCACCATCAAAAATGTCGCGAAAGTCGTCGTTGTCGTCCATCCATGCTCCAAAATTGCACATTGTTTCACATTTCCAACAGTTACCAATCGCTTTCACGGATTCCAAACTTCCATCGCTATGTGCCGTGGAAAAATGCTCTGGATAAAGAGTTCGTAACCCGCAATAGCTTATATGAAGCTCTTGTAATCTTGAAAGATCAGAAAAGGCGTCTTTAGGTATTTCTTCCAGTTCGTTGTTAAAATTCATATTCAGGTAAGTAAGTTTATTTGGTCCACGGAAAGTATATTCATACATTCCCTAAATATGAAAGATATTAAAAAGCACGTCGTATACCAAGAAAAATTTGAAAAACAAAGTATAGAATCCATAGCTTGAAACAGTCGTTTGTTCGAATATTAGCGCAAATAAAACTCGACTCAATTTTCAAAAAAACTGTGCAAATGAAATAACAATGTTTTAAGTTTTTCTACCTGAATGCTACAGTTTCTTAAATCCAATGTTTCCAAAAAAGGCATTTCCACAAACAATTCTTGATCTGTACAAAATTTTAAATCATTGTTGCCCGACAAATTCAGAATTTGTAAATTTCTTAGATCCATCGGTTCAATGCATTTCAACCGACTTGATGATATTTCGAGTGTCTGTATAGAAAAATAAACAATACATGAATAATACTTATTTATTATTAGCAAAGTTATCAACGTAATTTAAATAGTCAATAAGAATTGGACCATGAAATCGTAGAAATCACTCAAGTTTTGGGTAATTTGTTGTTAGTTGAGAAAGGTAAATAAACGATACTAATAAAATTCATACAGTATTGTGAAATCGCGGTCCTAGTTATAACTTTGACAAATAATTTTTTTTTCAAGAACACCGCAAATCATCACCATCTCCGCAGAACATATATAATCATGGTCACTCTTCTTTAACAATGATTAACGCTAATAATTCGAATGAATCATTTCATTTGAATATAGTATAGGGATTCAAGTAGAAATTGCACGTTGGTAAATTTACTATAATGTACAAGATGCCTTTTTGTCACCTTCAATTTCTTAACATTTGCAAAAGCTTCCCAGTTAACGACTCCAAGCCCGGTTTGGCGAAAAATAAGAATTTCGAGATTTTTGTCGTAACGTTCGAATGCATCTTCATCATCAATTGACTTCAAAAAGGGTGAGTCGAGGACTGTTAAACTCTCTATTTCTTTACCATCAGGAAAGCATTTTGGTATTTCAAAAATATCTGTTGAATAAAACACGTAAGTTTATGTACAAATATTCACTGTTGATGATATATTTTCTAAGGTTTCAGTTTCAAAAATAACAATTAAAAATATAACAATTAAAATTATAACAATTAAAATTGTTAATTTTAAAAATTGAAAAAAAGTTCTGGCTGTACATATATATCTTTGTGCTTGAGATTGTATTACAGTAATTATTGTAACCTTCAACTTCTCAAGACATGGAATGTTATCAGATATTTTTTACACTGATTATTTCATTTTATACAACTTTGATGTATGTTCAAGATTATTAGTCATACAGTAGGAAATAAATGTGGATATGGTCAATATGGAGATGACCATAACCTTCTTACAAATAACGTTTTTGTAAAGACTTATAAATAATTCAATAAATTGATAAATTGGTCAAATTATAAAAAAAAGATAATAGTTTTCAATTCCATCCAATGCCAAGAATATTGAAACACCTTATGTCGTTTTGGCACGTGGGAGTAAAATATGAATTATTATGCCAGTTGCCTATAGAAATATGGCGTCGTTTAAATCTATTATTGGTGAATATCACTGATCAGTTGAGATTACAATACTTGTACTTTATCTAATTTATTACAATTCAAAAGTGTATTACCAAACACCACATAGAACGAACAGAATGTAAGCTTTCATTTTAACAGAACATATGAAAAATTGGTCAAACCATGACAAGAACAAGCTGTACGCTCGGGCATATTAGAGTCACCCGTAGACTACCCAAGGTAGACATCAATGGGTGCTCCCGAAGTGTGCGAACCAAGATGGCGGACATCGGAACGTAACATGGGTAACAGGTTAGGGTTAGGCGAGAATTTTTTTCCAATTTTCCTTATTTTAGTCCTATAATCAGTTCGAAGACTAGCCAAGAGCCCCCCGTAGTATTTATAGCTAAAATTATGGCCTAACCCTAACCTAGTACACATATTACATTCCGATGTCCGCCATCTTGGTTCGCATACTTCGGGAGCCCCCATCAATGTAACCAAGGTTGTGATAATGGATTATGCTTTGTCGAGGAAATTCATGAGTCTTAGATCGCAGTATTCTATCATTTTAAATAAATCCTAATAAAAAACCTAGTAACCATAGATTGAGTCTAATAATTAAAATTCATATCATATTCAAAACACCATCTGGAAGACCTAAAAACGCACAATTTGTAGGAAATAAAATACGGACATAAATCGATGTGCTTGAAACACAACACATATTTATGTGTATCTCAACATACCTGTGCATACCGGCGATGATTCATCCGAACAGTCACAATTTTCAGGGCATACAGGACATAGGCGATTCGTGTCATCGTCTTTCCTTGAAGCTTTTTCCGATGCGTCAAGCAATATTCCATTTGCTATGGAGATTAAAAGAGCGACTACAAAGAAGCATAGCGATATTTTTACGCTTGTCATAACGAATACAGCCGCCTACTTACAGTCTACTACTTTGATGCAAATTTCAAATACAACTGCACTAATGCATATTATGTTCAACAAAAAGTTATTCCAGAGAAACTGTTAATAGTTATTCGTCACGTGAATTGATAAGGTAAAACAATTACGTTTGTACGAAATGCATTTAGCAAAAACTCATGGATAAAAAGATTTCTGCTTAATTCAAAAATTGTTATAAGATAAATGTCGAGCAGAATACGTAATATACTTATAAAGTACCCCCGGGATCCCATTTGATTGTATCCCATGCTTTGCTAAAATCACCGATTTGGCTGTTTTTGCCTTACATTTTAACGTGGAGTTATATTAAATTTCCTGATTGTTTTTAGCAGATTCGTACAGCCTCCCGTAGTTAATGTTTGATAGAATACAGACGACTTGTTGTATAATATTCAGAGATGTGCGCTTTCATAATATTTTTGAACAGCAAGTCAGCTTCGATTGTTTGTCCAGCCAAGACAGACGATCAAAACTAAGCACAAATATAGAATCGAAAGATCGAGTATAAAGGTGAAATATGCGGCGTTTTGTCCATTTTTGGACTCGGATTTTTGTTATCTCAAACGTTATAACTGAACAGTATTCCCGATGCCTCCGATATCTAACACTGGATTTACAGTAACTGAATATTATTACTATTTTTATAAATTTATCAACCAAGCAAATTGATAATTGAAGCTAGAAAACAACCAGCCGCGATATGGGCTACTTTACCATTCATTTTATGTTTTGACGTTTTTTTAATTCTTGAAAGTTGAATTGAAAAATCAAACCATGCAAACAGAGTTTCAACCATATGATACGTTGTAAAACTGTGTAGTTAGAAAAAAACGCAGGGAGACTAATGTTTTTCCATAAATTCGAGCATGCCAAGACAAATACCTCATTTTTGATGTACAATGAAAACATTTATTTGAACTTAGTAGCAAATGTTACTGTTCAGACATTCAGACACACATGGGCGGGCGAGGTGTTGCAAAAGCAATGGTGAAAAACAATGAGCCTGGTGCCAGAACTAAATTTAATCGCAATCCTAACAAATTCCTTGAGCTATATTTTAACAAAAACATCAAAACTTGGTTTTAGTTTGGTTGAGCCAGATTGAATTACCCAGCGGGCCGGATTTGTCCAGCGGGCTGTAGTTTGCCCATGGTAGATTTAGAGAGTAGAAATTAAAATCAGCGTGAGGTAAAAACTGATCTTATCCAAATTGGTGTTGCTCAAGCGTATACCAAATGATAGTTTAATCGCCATGGTATGTCGATTTTATTATGAAATTTACGGCTTTAATTTACACCCATATAATTCAGAACGCAATTATCCGGCGACAATGTTTTTTTTTTTTACAATTGGTATACAGATACGACAGGTACGTGGACGAACGACACAATTTAGTCTAGGAAAAACTAGGTAGTATAGACTTGCAACAATGCAGAATAACGGTAGGTCGGCTTGAGTGTAGTCAGCAGAATACCAGATTACATAAATCTTACGAGAAGCTAAGTCTGTGACAACAATTGTTCAATACAGTAGGAAGAATACACTCTAATTTGTTAAGTATGTAAAATTGATTTTGAATAACTACATGCATGAAAATCTCCCCTCAAACAAGTTTCAAAACGATTTGATCGAGTTTTTATTTTTCATGAGTAGTTTATTTAATTTGATATACAAGATTCCTTCTTTATACAAGATGAGTTTAAGCAAAACAACTTCTAGATGTATAAGCCTAAAACAAAGCAGCTGAATTTATATTATCATCCTATGCATTATCTTCTGGAAATGAAAGTGTATTCAGAGTTGTTCCGTCTAATTTTTCTTTCTGTTGCTCGGAGGAATTGCTTTCAGACATGTCGTGGTCTTCTTCAACAGCATTCTTAAGTCTCTGTCGGTCGCAACAATGGCAACAATATTTTTTGCATTGTCGATCATATTTTGATATGATAATGAAAAATGCTATTATCAACAAAAGCACAAATATTGAAGTACAGCCGATAATCAGACCAGCTTTTGTGTATGAGCATCCTGCTTCCAGGCCTGTCAACTTTGATACTTTATATGTAATAGAATCCTCGGTGGTGTTAATATAGCAGTCGCCTGTGACAAAAAGATATCCCAATTGTGAGCTAAAAAAATTGAGAAAAAATTAACTGCCAATCACAAAAAGCGAGGGAAATATACACACCACTCAACATAATCATATTTAGTATTTTTAGTTACATTCTGTCTGGTTGGTAATCTGAAAGGATCGCCGCAATCGTGTAAAAAAGTCATTTTACAATTTGTACAAAATCTATTTTCTAATAAAAGCGCAGAAAATATCGATGAGAAATTTTTTGAGAAAGATATTGCTAGTTCAAGAACTGACTTGGTTTATCAAGTTTACTTTCTCGTCTACCTTAAATTATTGTTGTAAATTATGTTAGCCTCCGACTGTTGTATACAAAGACGTGTTTGATGCAAGTGTCGCACCATGCATGTTTGACTTACAACATGAAGTATTTTAAGGCACAAAGTAAAACTATCATAAAAGCAATTTACCTAAATTTGAAATATTAATAAAACCTTGATACCCCATAAGCCATGTTGTAAACTCACACATCAGCAAACGAATTTCCTGAAGTCCAAACCGATAGTAATTCATTTGTTTATGAGTGAGTAAATACTCTGAGTAGAGGGTGAATAAATTGCATTCACTTATGTCAAGAGTTTTTAAAGAATCCAATTTGGCTGAAGCATATTGAATCATAACTTTGAGGTGAGCGTTTTGAGATATGTCAAGATGTTTCAACAAGGGCAGTGCTCCAAAAATATTTTCGTCAATAGTCTGCAAGAAAATAAAATAAAAATCAAAACTATTCTGATTTTTTTTTTATAATTGCATCACTGGTTCACTTTATATGTTTATCTGAATTGAGTCGTGTTTAATAACACAGTACATGCTTTGATTGTGCATTGAATTTGTTCCGTGCCGATGTCGTATAGAATAGGGAATTTAGTTTTCCCATATTTGTGAATGCAGAAACGCTCACGTATAACCCTCATAAGGTAACTCTTCCAAGGTTGCAATTTGCTGAAATATTTTTTTGAATGATACGCAGGTTGCTTTTTTCGTATCGTATATTTACAATCCTAGATAGGTTTTTACTTTTCTTCTTAAATTTGGCACAGTTTTGTTTTTGTTTGCTCCAATTTGATCGTAAAAATAGATGTAATTCGCTTCATTATACGATAATATGTTTTAGTTTGGTTAGTAAATCTCAACCAGCGTACATACCTTGATATTTGTTTCTGTTATAGTTATGACCTCCAAAGATTTTACTTGGTCGAAATTCGATACAACATTAAGATTTTTACATCTGGTAATTTGTACTTCTTGCAACGAAACAGACCAGTTGTGCGGCCCATATTCGAGATCAACTATTACCAGATCTTCACATGCTATCACTTTCAAAAACTAAAAAGGGATATTCTATTTTGTTTATTATCTTCAAGAGAAAGTCGCTAAAAATAATATTTTCAAAGATTATGGTTAACAATATTACGGTTAGTATAAGCAAAGAATGTTTATATGACGAGAGTATCAATAAGAATCCGATTGAATTTATCGTTGTAATGCAGACAATAAATATATTCATCAAAGTATATTGAAGGAACGAACTTGTGTACGAAGACTAATTATGAAGTTACATTTCTACAACTCTTTATTTAGTTTTTATAGTTAACGTATCAAATATGTAATATGTATGTTATGTATCAAACACCTACCCGGAGTATTTCATCCAATTTCATCGCCGTGTATAGATTTTATACCAACATTGTTGAGACTGAGGTGAGTTACATTGTCAGGCAAACTGCCTAGTGTTGTCAGTTTGGGGGAGACAGTTATAGTCAATTGAATTGTATTCGATGGTATACAGAACGGAATTTCGGTGATGTCTGAATTGCAAATGTACGCATAAAAACGTTTATTTTGATCATACGCTCATTCTAAATAAAATATGTCTAAAATTAGGCAACAAAGTGTTTTCAACTCCGGATCGTTTTCAACTGTGAATCCATAAACATGAGAAAACAAAAAAATAAAGATGAAGTATAGAAATGCTAGAGAATGTTCAAAGATAAACTCATTTTTGATAAAATTGAAAAAAAATATAGAATTATTGTGTGTCAGAATTAATTTTAGCCGACGAATGTTGTTTTCGTGAACAATATCTTTTTCTAAATTCCAGAAGTATTGTCACAGCTTCTGTTCTATCTCGAGAATATCATTCACGCAAATTCATTCATCATTCATTCAAGCAAATTGATCAAAGCTATAATTCTACATCTGTTTTCTTGTTTTGCAATAAAAACTTTCCATTTGCATATATAGAGAATAAAATATCTACCAATTTGTAATTCGAATAGCTTTAAAAAAATTATTGTTCGACAAATAGAAATAGTAGCGTCCCAATGGATCAACACGATTTGTGGATATTTGCGTTGAAGCCAACAAAATAAACATAAGATTAAAAAGTATATAAAGTTTGACTAATGGCCGACGATTTAAGATAAGATGATTATTCATAATAATAGGAGAATTTTTGTCCTATTAAATATTTTTTGAGTTTTCATACTTTTTCGTTGTGAATTTAGCAGTATCAGTACATCGACACATCTATAAGCAATAACTTACTGTTACAAGATGCTGTGCTGTTATAACAGTTACAATGTTGGCAATTCTCCCAGACGTCTGCCATAGCGGAGATTTCAAAAATCAAAAAAGGTAAAACAGATGCAGCCCGTAGCATCATCATATTACGCATTTTTTTTTATATTTTCGAGACGAGAATAATTTTGTAACTTAAATCTGAGAAAGCAATCACACAAACTTTATTGCTATAGCGTTATATGTTTTCTACACTTTTTCTACGGCTGGATACTTCAAATGTTATCTGTCTGAAAAAATATTTTAT